GTGTGTGTGTGTGTGTGTGTGTTGGGGGATGGGCGGGGTGACAGCATGGTGTGTGTGTGTGTGTGTTGGGGGATGGGCGGGGTGACAGCACGGACAACGGAAGAGAACTCTGGGGAGAGCACAGAGACGGACTGACGGGAAAGTGGGTCACCGTGAAGGAAGGCCAGTAAGCTGGACGCCATGGCGACCGTACATGTGCCCACCACACTATGGGACCTGTGTGGCTCTGTCAGGGACTGTCTCACCTTTCCCCAGGAGAAAGCCGAGGCGGGAGGCCAGAGAGACTCACCTTGGCTGGCAAGAGGCAGAGGCGAGCCTGAAATGTGTGATGTGTTTAAGCTCGCTGGTCAGGACGAGGGACATTTGCATTTGCGTGGGCTGTGAACTAGAGGGTGGGCTGGGCTCCCAGGAGGAAGGGAAGAGTGTGAGCACCCAGTTGCACTGTGGTATATCTGTGGGGACCGCGCCGACGGTGGGGGAGTGAAAGTGGGGGCTTCTGGGAACTGTCTGAAGAGGTGTGAATCCAGAAGGAGAGACTGAGGAGTCAGGACAGACAGGCAAATGAACGCTGAAGACCATAAGCCAGACCCAAAATTCCTGCTTCCCTCTCCTGAAGGGCTTTGGTTAAGGGAATCCCGCCCCCCCCCCCCCCCCCCGCCAGAGGCAGGGAGCAGGAGCAGGGGGAGCCATTCTTACCGGCTTGTACCCTAGACTCCCTGTGAAGCGGTGAGCCCGCTTTCCTGAGGTCCCTTGGTCCATTCTCCAAGGCCATATCTACTCTGTCTTGGCCAATCTATATAAACAAAGACATTGGGACCCAGAACAAGAGCCATCAAAAGCTGTCCCTGCAAATGACAAGTCTCCGCCCCCACCCGACACATGCCTACACCCCGCCCCCTCCCCTTCCCTGGCTCCGATCCAGCAGGGCCTTCTGGTAGAGCCCTCCTGGGGGTGCAGCCTTCTGGGTGCTTTCTTCTGGGGGGGGGGCAGGGCTGTCAGGCGCCTCCTGGAGATTTCCTGAGCGCCCTTCCCCCAGGGGATGCCTTTGTCTTTGCCTCCTGAACAGACAGCTGCAGGGGGTGGGGTGGGTTTGAGGGTGGCACCCTTGCACCAGGGAGCGCTAACCGAAGGAGGGATGGCTGGAACAGATACTCCTCTGCTCCTTAATGCAAACCCTGGGAAACCTGAATCACTTAGCCTGGGAGCAGACAGCTCAAGGGACTGAGTTAGGTGAAAGGCGGTCAGAGAGGGCTTCATGGAGGAGGCAGCCTTTGTCCTATCAGGAGTTAGGTGAGCAGAGGCTTGCCTAAAGCCTCACGGTAGGAAGGAACAAAGACAATTTCTTGTGCCACAGCTGCTCTGGAATGGGAGGTAGGGGTGGCCCTGCGTGAGTGACTGGAGGAAGTAGAAATGCTGGGGAGACGGAGACTAGAGGAAGCCAGGGCGGCCCCAAGCAAGTCAAATGGTGGAAGCATGAAGGCAGCCCCGAGAAAGTCTGAGGAGGGTGAGTTTGGTTTCACAGGCAATGGGAAGCCATTGAGAGTCTTAGCGGGGAAGTCCCTTGGTAAGGATGCTGACCCTGGTTGTGTGTGTGTGGCGCGGTGTGTGTGTGTGTGTGTGTGTGTGTGTGTGTGTGTGTGTGTGACAGGTGGTGGTGAACCCAGCTTTTTCCTGAAGAGGTTCTGTCTGGTGGAAGAGAACGGCCTGTATGCCATGCAATGCTCTGAAGGCCCACAGTGCTCAGTCAGCATCCTGGGCCAGAGGCAGAAGAGCAAGCAGGGAAGGCATCCTGGGGCGACGAAACCACAGAGACTTGGGGAAATGAAACTGCAGGCGAGGAGCCAGTCATGGAGACGGGTGTATGGCCAATGCAGAGTGGCGCTCAGAAGGACTGGGGAGGGGATAAGGGGCAACCTGGACGGGACGGGACCCAGCTCTGGAAGACAGGCTCCAGGAAATATAGGTGGCCCGGACTCTATGTGGGTGGGGGCTGATGTGCCCGCAGCCAGGAGGGACACAGCAGTGGGCAGAAGGGAGGATGATGGAAGATTTTCATAAAGGCAGAGGTGGTGATGGCTGCAGTGCCTGAGAGGTCGCGGGAGCGGGAGGGAGGTTGCCTGGCTAGGACCTCCCGGCTTACATTGTCCTCTGGGTCCCGATCCCTAATATTACATTTCCCAATCACCTACTCGTAAATCCTCTTCCTGCCTGGGGCCTGAAACCCTTGAACAGGGAGCAGTTTGATTTAAAGTCAAGGCTGGCAGGAAAGGGGTGGGGGAGACTATCCAGAGAAGAGCCAGATCCTCCCTGGGGCCAGCCCTGTAATTAAAGTAGGGCCATCTCTCTTCCTGAGAGCCTTTCTAGAACGCTGGAAGCAGGGCTGATTGCTACCTGTCTTGGTGGCCTGTGGATCGGAGCACCCACGCGACAGGAGGCCAAACTCAGAGCTGTACACACCAGCCAGGCCATTCCCTACCGTGATCAGGCAGGGCCTCCCTGCTGGGAACCAGGCTGTAGGCAGGCCCCTTCCCCGAGCTACAGTGCAGGTGTCTAGAGTTGTTTCTAACTAATACTGTACAGGAAATGAGACCGGACGCCACTTCCAGAGTTCCAAAGACTCAGGTCTTCCTTGCTAGTCTTTTCTCTCTTGGGGTCTCTGTTCACACACCAAGGAAGCAAGCCACCAAACTGGGTACACCCACATGGCAAGGATGAGGAGCCAGGCAGTCAGCCAGGGAAGCGTTTAGGCCCTCGGCATCCCCCACAGACTTAAATGTTGCTTGGAGTAGAGCGGATGGGACAGGCAGCTGAGTCTTCCTCGGTCGAGCCTTCAGAGAGGAACGCGGGCCCTGAGTAGACCCACCTGGGCTGAAGGGACCATGACACAGAAGACACAGCTAAGCTACACCAAATCCTTGGAACAGAAACTGGACCACCATAAATACATACGGTTCTGAGCCACCGGGTTTGGGGGAGGGGGGGTCATTTGTTATACAGCAATCACTAACTCATACACTTACTTGTTCGCTCGGAGTCTCCACGCTGCCCTCGGAATAAATGTGCTGATAACCCTCAGCCCAAAGCATGGAGCAAGGGAGGACACAAAGGCAGCAGGAAAGAGCTATGTTATCTGTAAAACGCTGGGTATGTGGGTGCGATTCGTGACTTCAATCATTCCAGAGCTGAGTCAGGGAGAACCTGGTTCTTATGGCCTTGTACAAGTCAATCTCTTTGTCCCTCAATGTCCTCATTATAATAAGGGGGCACGGGGACATTCAAGTGAACGTCTCAGCACGTTTCTGAGGAAGACAGTGACAGTCTGGGGAAGGCCAGGGCACAGTGGGAAGAACACAGGACCTGGAGCCCGGTGCCAGGCCTCAGTCTGTGCAACACTAGGCAGGTGTGGAGAGTTGGGCCAGCTCCATCCTTTCCCTTCTGTGACCTCAGTCTCAAGTGAGCTAAGCCCTACCCTGTGGTATCTGGGGGCTCCCTGCCAGCCTGAGGGTGGTACGTACAGGAAAGGACATTCTTTTTGGTGATGGGACAGGGATATGCATCCTTTAGGATGCAGATGAGGAGACAAGACAGATGTGCTGGAAGACAGCGCAGAGCAGAGCCCAAGAGTCATGGAGCAGAGGCGGGGGGCCACCGGGGAGCCTCACACCGGGCAGGCTGGGCGCATTCAGGAGACAGTGCTGCCAGTTAGAGCGATACATTTGCAGGGTGGGGGTGACCATAAGGATGGAAGGAGCCGGTGGGTAGGGGTGTAGCTCAGTCGAGAGGGTACCTGCCTAGCATGCATGCAACTCCAGTCTGATTCTCAGTGCTACAACGGGCAAAGCGGTCTGCAACTGTAATCCAAGCACTCGGGAGGTGAATAACAGGAAGACCAGAAGCTCAGCTCATTCTCGGCCACGTAGGCCATCCTGAAATACACGAAATCCTGTCTCAAAAAAACTAAAATAAAAAGACTCTGGTCGGGCCTTGAATGCCAAGAGGACAGTTTTGACTTCCTGATGACTTCCAGGAGGGTCTTACTGGACAGCCAGCGAAAGCGCTGGGGCAGGACCCTCTAGAATCTTGGCCCTTGGTGGAGAAACCAACCGAGGCACAAGGCTGCCCTGTTCACTCCTCCTTATGTAGGACTCAGCCCTCACTAACAGACCTTGGTCAGCTGTTCCTTGATCTCTGTCTTGCCTTCTGAGCGACGGACTGGCTGCTGCCGTGACCCCATACAGGACCACGAGGACACCCTGAGAAATACAATAATGCCTCTGGCCTGAATTCTCTAGATGCTGCTCAAGCCACCAGGTGCTCTCACTGTCTGCTGACCCCACCCCGAGCAGTCTGGTCCCATCTTTCCCCATCACCCCTGTACAAAAGCAACATCATTTTCTGCTGTCTGTCTCTCCATTCCCAGCGGGGTTCTGATAGCCACTCCGAGCATCATCCCCACATTCTTCAAAAGACGTGTTTGGAAACAAGAAATTGCTAGAGAGATGATTCAGGCCTTGGCCTCCGATTGTGTCTGGACATAAGCAAGCCCATCTGTGGAGCCTGCACTGCCAAATTCTGTCATCCGGCTCCATATGGCTCGCTTCCCCCCTCCCCCAACTCACAACCTGCAGTCTGTCCGGGCTCACTGTGGTGGTAGCTACACTGAGAATCCAGGGGGAGGAGCCTAGGTTCCAGCAAGTGGTATCTCTGCTCCCCTCCTGTCCTGCCTGGGACCACCATGGGGGCATGGAACCCAGCATGGCTGGGCTTCTTGGCCTTCTCTTCTTGTCTCCACAGAGCCATAATGTGGAGTCCTCAAGCCAAGGGGACCCAAGGAGATTGTGAACTTTTGCCACCCCACTCCCCCAAATGGAGGTAACTCCCTGGACTGTGGGTTCAGTTGTTTGCTGGGCCAGTCCCTTTGTCCTAGGGAATGTGTCACGGGCCTCTCAGTGTCTCCCTTGCCTACAGGCAGCCGACTTGGCACTTAGAGCTGTCAGGCCAGAGCTTTATGACCCGGGGTCACTGCTTAACTTTTCTGGGTCCCCCCATCTTCAGTGGGCCTGATGGGGACCTACCTTAGCATTCTGGCCTTGTTCATTTCCTAGGTTGGACACTGGCGTCTGGTAAGCAAAGAAAGAACTTCGTAGACTGTACAGCACCAAGACTAGAGAGTGGTCCTTGGGCATACGGGTTATGGACCCGAATGATTTCTGGCTGGGGCAAATTTCCAGGCAAATCCCTGATGTTCGTGATCAGATGAGAAAATCATCTTTCCCAGAGGACTTAAATCTGAGGTGAGAGGGTGACGTGTGACTGAGGGGTAGGGGTGGGGCCAGGTTAGACAGGCTGCGAGGCAGAGCTTCGCTTCAGTAAAAGGCTTGAAGAAACAATAAGTCCTCATGGCTAACAAAACACATATGCTGCCCAGATCTGGTTCAAGGCCGGTCAGTGGAAAACGGGTCTGAAAGCCGGGGAAGAGAGGGGAATCTGTTCTTAACAAGGCTGCGCTGGCCGCAGACATAATTGTCCTGAGAAAGAAGGTTCAACATATGGTGATCATTCCCGAGTTCGGCCTGGGCTAAGAATGGCTTGTGTCTCTAATATGCTTCTTCTTCCCACGCAGATGCTCATCCAGGTCTGTATCAGGTTCTGCGACTCCCAAGCAGCATCAAACAGTCTCTGTCCACCAGGTAAGGCTAGGCGTGGCTATAGATGGAAAACACATCCTTTCTTGGGAGGTGGGGGTGTCTGTGGAATGCCACCCAATGAGAGAACAGGCATCCGTGGAAAAAGTGACACAGAGTCACTAAGGCACAGAAAGCACCACAGTAAACAGAGTCAGTGAACTGCACTGTGCAGGACTTCTCAGAGCCTTAACGCGCTCACGTACATTATGTTTTAAGGTACTTCAAAGTGTCTGGGTCTGTCTGGGTCCCCAATGGCTTTGAGGATTCCAGTCTGTCCTGAGGTCTGATGAGGCGGCAGGTGTGGGACGTTACATGAAGGGGCTGGCAACATTCAGGCCCAGGGACTTTCTTCACAGAAGGTCTCCCTCTGAGGGTGACGCAAGAGAGACAGACCGTTGCTCTGTTCCCAGGCTGCAGTAGGCCACTGAGGGAGTAATCTTCAGGGAGGGCCAGCGGGAGCTCCAGGGTCACACTTGCATCTGGGAAACTCTGTGTTGATGAAAGGGATCCACCCACAGGACACAGAAGAGCAGCAACAGGGCTAGAGAACATCCCATGTCCCTTGTCAGTTTCACGGTTCTGTGGCCAAGGAAGGAGGAGAAATCAATTCCGGGTCCGTAAGCATCTATAAGTAGGGCCCGCTTCCCGCTCCCACAGCTGTGAGCCTCAGACAGAAGCTTTCAGTAGCATTGCCTGCTGCGTTCACAGCCAAGGCTAGCGCCGCTTCTATGAATAAAATTTAGAGGTTCAGGACAAATCTGAAAACCAACTGCGCTCTTTCTCTCTCTCTCTCTCTCTCTCTCTCTCTCTCTCTCTCTCTCTCTCTCTCTCGTTTGGGAATCAATACCTCTTTGTTCTGGAAATCATCTCCAGCTAAAGGAGAATGCACCACACAGGGTTGAGGCATGTCCTTGACCCAGAATCAGGATAGGAGCACAGTCCGGGAACCAAAACAAAGGCCAGGCCACCTGCTCATTCACAGAGCTGTCTCCAAGAGCTAACTTCAGGGATGAACCCTGACAAAACTTGAGATTGCCTCCCAAGTACCCGCGGTGTCTGCTGAGCCCCATCTCGGAGCACATGGAAACCTGTCCCCCGTTGTGCAAAAAGAGAAACCCCGCTTCTGTGAGGAGTGGATCTGGGTGTGAGGACCTGGGCAGGGAGGCGGGAAAGTTTGCCTGAGAAGAATCGGAAAAGGCTGGAAGGGAGGAACAGAGAGACGTTTAAGGCCATCTGTGGAAACCTCCTGACTGCGCTCCGCTCTGCACTGCTTCCACAGAAGTCACAGGCTACACAGCACGTCTGTCTGTCATTGGTTTAGGATCTGTCTACACTGCTTCTGGGATGGATCTGAGGGGTTTTGATGGGGAGGCTTGGCAGGAGGGAGAAGTTTGATTTGAAGGATGAGCAGAAGGTGCTTCCTGCTGCCCATCTTGGTGACAGAAGGGAAGGGGGGCTTCCCCACGACCAGCCTTGGGGATTTCTCTCCCACTTCATTCTCGCTCTCTCTTTGGCAGCCCCGGTGTGTGCATTTACTGGAGACACACGCCAGCAGTCCAGAACTGCGCTCCCAAATAAGGAGGAAGATTGCTAGGAACTCCCTCCCCCACAGTCTGCAGGGCAGGCTCCAGGCCTCCTGGCCCTGGGGATGTATAGTGGGCGGCTGGGCTGTCTGGTTCCAGGGCAAGCCTCTGGTATCTCAGGCTGCAGGAGGAGGTATAACTAACCCACGGCCTTCTGGCTCCAGCCAGCCAAAATACCGGGAACATTCTGGCTAGAACGGAGGCTGGCTGTCAGGCTCAGCCTGTCTGTGATCTGTGTGCTGCTACAAGCAGGTTTGAATCTGCACAGACAACCAGGAGAAAGTCTTTCCCTCCGTCAGCTTAAATGGTTGCCACCTCCATCAAAACCAGTCTCGGAGCTGTCACGGGTTTTCCCATACAAAAGATGTCCCCACAGTTTTCCTGCTTACATATCATTGGTCAAACTTGGGCATATGGCCACACATGCTTGCAAGGAAGGCTGAGGAACGTGTCAACTGAGTAGCAAGAAGCCTGTCTCAAAAGCAGAGGGCCCAGCAGGAAGGGCAGAGAACAGGCACGTTAGCTCAGTGTGGTCCAGGCTGATACTGCTGAGTTCTGACCCAGAGTGTTTTGTTTTGCAGTTAGAGGGAAAATTCTTTTATTTTTGTTTAAGCCAAAAGGAGCCCAGAGAGGTCGAAGCCCTTCATTGTGCACCAGGCAACATGTGCAGGCCGGAGAACAAAGCCAGCTTGGAAAGATGGGAAGGCGAGAGAAGCCAGGGCCGTGTGACAGAGGTGTCCGAGGATGGATGTGTTCCTAGTCCCAGTCAGAATGAGGTTCAGACTCCGCCCTTTCCTCTACTGGATCTATGGACCAATAAATCCCACCTCTGTTCTGTTCCTTCCTCTCAGGTTTCCCTCGTTGCTGTTAGGAGCCCAGGTTGCCAAGGCAATCAGCTTTCACTTGTGAGCCCCAGATGCTAAGGCTGCGGTCGTGTTTCACGTGTGAGCTCAGAGGCTCCATGGACCACTCTTTTGGCCAAGTGGTTTTTTTATTGCAAGAGGATTTCCTCATCCTATGTTTCAGGACTTTGAATGATGTCATCAAAGCTCACATGACTGTGTAGCTCTTCACAGCGTGCAGGTTTGTTCCAAAGAAATTTCCTCATAGGAGGTGGACACAGGCTCCCTGGGATGCAGGTTGTTTTCCCAGAACATGGATAAGGCTCGGTGAGATGAAGGCCGAGTTCATTCATCTCCGCAGCTGCTCACTGGAGACCTGTGCTCATTCCCACAGCACTCCATGTATGGCTCCATAGGGATGAGGGTTCATTTCACTTCGTCATCATTTGGAGAACATATTTCGTAGGTTGGGTGGGCTAAAAGTCAAGCTGGGCTGCCTTAACTCAGAGGCAGAGCTCAGAGAGCTGGACTGACAGACAGATGTCTCTAGTGGCCATGACTGGCACCAAGACTCTGGCAGGCGGCATCAATAACTGACTTGGCTTCCTTCTCCTATGCCCTGGAGGTCCCAAGGCCTCTCAGTATTCCCACTGGTGACAGACTTCTAAACTATGGGTTCTCAAGAGAATCTTCTGTACCAAAACTACAACAGGACAAAGAAATAAAATAAAATTTTCCTGATATCAATCTAAGCAAATTATCTAATCTTTAAAAAATAATTTAAAAATATTATTATTATTTTATATTTTATATGTATGCATGCTTTGTATGTGTGTCTGTGTACCACTTAAGTGCAGTGCACATGGAGGCCAGAAGAGGGCATTAGATCTCTTGGAACTGCCATGAGGGTGCTGGGAATTGAATCTGGGTCCTCTAGAAGAGCAACAAGTACCCTTAACCACTGATCTATCTCCTCAGCCTACCTACCTACTTACCTACCTATCATCTAACTATCTGTCTATTTATCTACCTATCACAAGTTCAAACATATAAACAATAAAAGTAAAAACAGATTAAGCTGAAAGCTTTTGTACAACGAAGGAAATAATCAACTGAGTGAAAAGACAATCCATTAAACGGGAAAAAATGGCACACTGTTAAGGAGTGTGTGTGTGTGTGTGTGTGTGTATTGTGTGTGTGTAACTCAAATAAATCATAGCAAGAAAATAAAGGACACCACTCTAAATGAATTAGGGACCTGAATCCAAATGCTGAGAACCACTCACAAGAGAACATGCAAAGGCCAATGGCTGGGCACAAGAAAGTATTCAATATCAACATTAGAGAAATACAAACTCAAGCCACAGCAAGGTATCATCCACACCTACTAAAAATTACTTTTATCTAAGTGAGAAAGACTTTTATCTTAATGAGGACATTAAGAAAGGGACTCTCCCACACCCATTCCACCGAACCCAGCTGGATAGTCTAGAGAGTATTTCCGTTTTAATGTCTCTAACCACATCTGCTAAGATTTTTTCTCACATAAAGTCACATAGGGATGCTGGAGGCCTCATTCTGCCTCTCTGGGGAGGATGTTGGCCAATGGCAAAGTGAATCTAAATGAAGCTCAGAGGAGTTGGGGGATGGTGGAACAGGGTTCCCCACATAGAAGAGGGAGCCAAATGCTCCAGGGATGCATGTGAAGAATAAATGCTTACTCTTGTTCAAGGATGAGGGAACAAGGCAGTGGGAACAGAGACACAGGATGAGAGGAAAGATGGGCTTTGGTTATCTCCTGAATATTCTAAACAACAACTACATGAAGGTTCTGAGCAGATGGAGGCATACACACTCAAGAAAAGGAAGCGTGACTGCAGTGTGGATGGAGTGTGCCAAGGTGGCTCTGGACATCTGCCAACCCACTGAACTTGACTTGGAATAGCTACAAGACTGTACCAAAAGCAGAAGCATGTAGTTTCTCCTGTTGTTCTCCATCCTCTCTAGAAAGCCAGCATCCCACAGGAGTCAAGTGGCTGGCTTTTCCGGGGATGCTGTAGCAATTAGCAGGAGGTGTAGAACATTGTAGAGTTAGTTAGATCAAAGCAGAGTTAGTTCACTCCGCCTCCTCCCCACAGCGCCTCCCATTGTCCCTGAACTTGTGAGGTTGTCATCACCATCCCTGCACCTAAGCCAAAAGCGAACAGTCTTCCAGGACACTAGACTCCTGCATCCACGGGTCTGTGTTGGGCAAGAGGACATGACCCAGCAAAAGGAGCTAGACCATGTATTTCTAAATGTTTGCAATTTCTCGAACTATAATTCAAACAAAAAGCATGCTAATGAGTCTTGGAAGTCTCTTACTTGAGTTCCTCAGAAGCAGTCCCTGTAACACCCATGTTTCCATGTTGTGTCTATCACAGGTGCCATGCTTCTAGACTTTTTAACTATGTATGTTTCTGTCACAAGTGTATCTTGTGTTTCAGTCCTTCATGCAGCTGTGAAAGTTTTATATATATTAATGTATATATGAATAATGTATTAATGTATATGGTCCATTCATATCTTTTTATATTAATTCTTTTTAATATGGATATTTATTATTATTAGTGTGTGTGTGTACGCACACACGTGGGTGTATGTGTGTGTGTGTATGTGTGCGTGTGTTTCAGGACAACCTTGTAGAGTCAGTTCTCTCCTCCATCTTTATGGGATTTTCAGGGATGGAACTCAGGTGATTAGGTCTGCCGGACAAGAGTTTTACCTGCTGAGTTATCTTCCCAGGCCTTCATCTGACAATTGTTTCTTCGTAGTGGACATCTGCACGGTTCAAGCTCAGTGTGGAAACAGCTGCCATGAACAACCTCAGCTGTGTGTCTTTGCACAGCTGAATGGGGGAAGGGTGCAGAATAAATTGCTGAAAACGAGTGTCCGGGGCATTTGATGGGCTCTGCCAGGTTGCCTTGAAATAGCCTCTTGGCTTATTTCGTTCCCAACCAAGCATCCCCCTGCCTCCTCACCAGGAACAAGTTTTAGTCATCTTCAAAGCTGCCTGGCTGGCCTGGGAAGTAAGATAGGTATAGATACAGATACTAGAAGATAGATAGATAGATAGATAGATAGATAGATAGATAGATAGATAGATAGATAGATTTTTGTGTTTCTCAGTTTGCGCATGCGTCTTTCTCTGTAAGCGCTCTCTCATCAAGGCTTCTGCACATTTGCTGCTTGACCTGTTTTCCTTCTGTGTCGAGAAAGTTCTTCGTACTACTTAGCTATTCACCGGCAGTATGAACGTTAGAAACTTTTTTTTTTTTTTAGCATCTCACCTGTAATTCTATTTATGGCATCTTTTCCTCACAGGCGTTCAAATGTTTACATAGTTGACGGCCGCTTCCAGGATGATCCCTAGCCTTCCTTATGCCTGACCCCGCCTTGCTTTTAATGATCTCTTAACGGCTTCACTCTTGGGTTAATCATGAATTACTTGGAGTCGTGGTTCCATTTTATTCATAACGGTCAAGCTCTGCTCCAGAAATTACTCACCCTAGAGCCCTAGCTAGGAGAAGTTCCCAATAAATAAATAAACACACTTTAAGTGCTACTGAATTCCATCAAAAAGTGTTCCAGAGTTCAGTCGAATGAGCAAGCTTGGACGGTGTGGTTCCAAGGTTACGGTCGAAGGAGAAAGTTCCCAGGCATTTGGCCGAGAAACCACAACAGGCGGCGAGTTAGAAATGCAATTTTAATCACTATATGGAATAAGAACAGGGCTAACCTCAGCTGCTAATAGAAAATTATTAAAAGAAAACCACAGAAAATGTGTCCTATATTTGTTTCACCTTAAAAGCTACTTTGCCACTAAATTATCTGCTATTGGAATCAGAGTTTTTAATATGGAAGAGTCATAGTTTAATATAAAAATAGTCATGGTTTAATATGAAAAGCCGGAATTTAATATAAAGATAACGAGGTGAGGAGCTTGGATGGCTGTCTGGAGCTCAGCGAGACTGATTCCTTTATCCACCCTAGTGTCTACCCTCGGCTGGTGGCTGTGACCCAGCTGTGGGACACGAAGAGGCGGGGAGAGTCTCGGTGTGTGTGTTTGTGTGGTGTGGTATGTGCTGGATGGGTGTGTGTGTGTGCATGCCTGTGTGTATGCTCTGAGAGTGTGTGTGTGTGGTGTGGTATGTGCTGGATGGGTGTGTGTGCATGCCTGTGTGTAAGCTGTCTGTGTGTGTGGTGTGGTATGTGCTGGATGGGTGTGTGCACGTGTCTGTGTGTAAGCTGTGTGTATGTGTGTGTGTGTGGCATTGGGTGTGTTATTCAATCACTCTCCACCTTATTTTTTGAGACAGGGACTCTACTTAACCTGGAGTTCACCAATTTGGCAAGCCTTGCTAGCTGGTGAACTCCGGGGAGCCCTGTGGCTCTGTCTTCCCAGTGCTAGGTTTACAGGCACAAAGGGCCACATCTGGCTTTACCTGGGTTTTGGGCCGCTAAACTCAGGTCCTCACACTTCCACAGCAAGCGCTCTACCCACCGAGCTGCTCCCTAGCCTCCTGTTTATGTTCTCAAAGCCAGTCATGGAAAACAAAGGAAAATCACGAGACCTTGGGGAGATCCCTAGGGTCTCAACTCAGTGGTTTTTAAAACACAAGAAAGGTCACTGAGTGATTTGTGCAGTTCCTTCCCACACTGAGGTCCTGGGCATCTGTGAGTTTTTCTGCAAGATCCTTACCTCCGTGGAACCCCCTGGGATTCTAAGGGAGGTGTGAAGGCAAAGCCACCACAGCTGTTACCAGCTGTTCCACGAGGCCACTCTGGGAGCCCACAGAAGTATCAGCACACTGTCAGTTAGGAGTTAAATTAAATTCCAGGATCTTCTGTGTAGTTGGAACTGGCCTTGATGTTTTTATCTGTCTGGTGCCGGCTCCTGTGGGGCCTGTTGCAGCTGAGATACAGCCAGATAAGGGACGGAAGGGGAGGGAGCGGAGTGTTGGCTTCTCTGCTGATGTGTGGCTCATAACCGATCCACTGCATAAGCTGTACTCCGGTGACTTCCTGAAAAGGACCCAAGATGACTCACGAATTCAGTCGAGTATGAGATGTGTTTGCAGACTCTGCTGAGGCTGGAGGACACACAAATTCATACGGAAAGAACTCACACAGTCTTCTGCAGAGTGTGAGCATGTAGCTACTTTTCTCATTTGGATGACCAAATACCAAGAAGCAGCACCACGAAGGAAAAGCTCATCCTAGCTCACAGCTGGGGGGTATAACCCATCATGGCAAGGAAGGCACGTCAGAGCGCTGGCCCACATCTGAGTGGCTCAGATGCCTATCAGGGCTCTCCCTTGTCCTTTTTATTCAGCCCATGACCCCGGTTCAAGTTCAGTGTTGTCTTCCCTTCTCAGTTAAGCCACTCTGGAAACACCCTTACAGACAGCCGAAGGTGTGTCTCCCAGGTGACTCCAACAAGGAAAATAGACACTACACACAAAGAAAGGTTCTCTCTCAGGCCAGTACAGAGGAAGAGGCCTTGGCTGTTCCTCCAGGCTAAGAAGGAACCCCTGGGGAGAGGTAAGCTCTCTCATTGCTGGTAGCTACCGCTGACAGCTGGAGGTCCCTCAACCTTCCAACCTCCCAGAGCTGAACTTTGCCAAGAACCAGAATGAGTTCAGAAGTCAGCTCTTCCCACAGAGAGTCAGGAAGTAATGCTGCTGGCTG